GTTCATTTGCCGACCGTCTGTTGGAGCTGCTTTCCAACCACTTGACGATTATGACCACCAATCACGATTATATAATATTCCTATTGTTCCGGGATTCATAACCGACCTTCACGACTACCGTAGTGGCTAAAGGGTAACAAATCGACCGTTCTTCAGCCTGGGGAACAATCTTTTATATTCATCGGTCTCTTACAAATGATGACAGCAAACCGACTATCAAGGACTTCGGATAAAGAACAGCCGAGGGAGCAGGGAAAGACTAAAGAGAACTTAAAAGCACAATAAATATATTTTAACTTTTAATTAACTACTGGAGCGCTCGAGCGAATGATTCCCGCTGGGCATTGCCTTCATTGACAACGAAAAGGCGCTTGATAAAGTTGAACTGGACGCCGTATGGAAAGTACTTGCAGAACAATGCATCGATAGATGGTGGATCAACCTGCCGAAGGAAGCTGGCTCCGAATGCAAGCTGTTTGATGTCTCCACCTGAACTGAAGTGATCAAAGGTGCTTAGCAACGAGACAGCCTTCCACGGTAGACCGGTAGACTAAACAGGAAGAATAAACAAGCGAAGTCGTCCCAGATCTGCTGATGACGTTATGTTGATTGGAGAAAGTACCATCCAGTTGCAAGCAAATACTGAAGGATTTCGATAAAGTGCCTATGATCAGCTATGCTGCAGCAAGTCGCAAAATGGCTAATAATAATAACGGCTACAACAAAATCAAAGTTTACGTGTATCTGAGCCAGGAGGTTGACGTGCGACATGACATGAAGGCTGACTACCGTGAAGGGCGGCAAGTTACCGTGATTATATGGTTCGCATAAACCATATATATGGTTGGCGATGTATATGGTGGATCTTACCCCGTCGAACGTGGCCCGTACAGCTAGCTAAAGGTAGCTGATGCTAGATTTTACGGTGACCCGAAACGCACAGCGTGATCGCTAGATGCTTTACTCTGTAGAATCACTTTACACCAAGGAATACAGTGTAAAACGTAAATTACAAATACAATTGCACTTTGGCAGGGCATAGGTGAATCTGCATCTGTTTTGTCATAGGTGCGCCTCGTGACCTCGGTAGAGAATCAGTTACAGATGCCCAGCGTACGTACGTACAGT